CAAGGCAAATAATGTTGCGGAATAAGAATAGGTGACATTGGAAGAAAGGAAAATAGAATTGAAAAGAAAAAAAAACAATAAGAAAAATTTGGAAGAGGGAAGAAATATCATACAAACACAAGAAAGAAGAAAGACTGGAAAAAAGAAAAAAAAAAAAAAAGAAAAAAGAAAAAGAAAAAAAAAAAAAAAAAAAAAAAAAAAAAAAAAAACCACATATATATCATATATATATATATATATATATATATATATATATATATATATATATATATAGGTAACAATAGACAATACTGTAATTGGAGTCACCGTAGACTTACAGAAAAAAAAAAAAAAAAAAAAAAAAAAAATAAGAAAATAAAAATAAAAAAAAAAAAAAAAAAGAAAAAAAAAAGAAACAAACAAACAACAACAACCAACAAAAAAAACAAAAACAAAACACGACACAAAGACCAGTCCCCTGATCGCCATCGCACCCGCCACCTCCGCCGACCCCGTGACTCTCGGTGGGACTCACCTATGGCGGAGACGCGCGCACTTGGGGGTCTTATAATTAAGGACTCCCCCCCCCCTCCTCCTTCCCCTCCATCCTCTATCTATTCCCTTCGACCGTTCTTCCTCTTCCTTGTTCCTTATCCTCCAGCTCTCTTCTCTTCGTTTGTTTTTTAATTCTAGCTTTCTCTTTCTCCGTTATATCTTATCCTAGTTCTCTCTCTCCTCCTTTATTCTTTGTCTCAGTTCTCTCTCCTCCCTTATTCGTTATCTCTGTCTCCCTTATTCCTTAACAAAGCTCTCTCCTCTTCCACTTCCCTCTTAACTCAACTCTCTCTTCCTCCCTTCTCCCTTATCCCAGTTCTCTCCTCTTCCCTTCTTCTCAACTCTCTCCTCCTTCTCCCAACTATCTCTTCCTCCTTTTCTTTCTTAAACCCAACTCACTCCTCCTTCTTTATCCCAGCTCTCTCTTCCTCCCATCTTTCAGTTATCTCCATCTCCCTTCTTCCTTCTTCCCAGCTCTCTCTTCCTTCCCATCTTCCAGTTATCTCCATCTCCCTTCTTCCTTAACCCAGCTCTCTCTCTCTTAATCTATCCCCACCTCCTACACCCCTCCTCTTCCCCTGCCCCCTATCCCCCTTCCCCTCTCCCTCTCCTTTATCATCATCTACCTCCCTTCCTTTTTTCTAACCCACACGCGACTAACAGAGTACAAAAGGTAACATGAGCGACATATCTCCTTATTACATCTCTTCCTCTAAAAAAAAAAAAAATCAATTCATTTGTTTTCAGTTCCGTCTTTTCTTTTTCTTTCTTTTTTTTCTTTTCTTTTTCTTTCCTTTTTATTTTTATTTACTTATTTTTAACTTTTTTTTTTATTTTTTAGTTTTTCTGTATATATATATATATATATATATATATATATATTATATATATATATATATATATACTACATCATTTTTATAGACTACATTATTTTTTTTCTTAAATCTAAAAGTAACTTTCTGTTTGTAATTCAATCCTTGATATTTTCATTTCGAATTTTCCAATTTCTGTCTTTTCACTTACCTTTTTTTTCATTCCGAATTATCGATTCTTCGTCTACTGCGCATCGCCTCCTCCACCTACACTCAACATTTTTCTACACATTCACACCATTTCAACTCAATTGCACATTTAACTCTCATCTACACATTCATCCTCACAATTACACATTTAACTCATTACACATATTACCCATTCACTCAACTACACATTCAACTCTCATCTTACACAATTCACCCATTCACTCAACTACACATTCAACTCTCATCTACACATTCACTCAATTACGCATTTAATTCATCTATACATTAACCCATTCACTCAACACATTCATCAACTCTACCCACACATTCAACTCTCCTCTACACTTTCATCAACTCCATCTACACATTCAACTCTACACATTCTTCAACACCATCTACACATTCAACTCTCATCTACTCACCCGGGCACCTCCTCCTCCCTCCTCCTCCCCCTTCAGAAGACGCCGCCGCTCTTACCTGGAAGAAAAACAAGATAACAACACACACATTAACACTGTCTCCTGATAAATAGCCAATTTGTCCCGATTAAGCTAAATAACGACATCTCTCCCCCCACCCCCTCCCCTCTTCTCCCATTTACCCCCTTTTCGAAGCTCACTCCCTCTCTCCCCCACCATCCTCCCCCTCCCCTACCCCCCCCCCCCCCTTCCCGGCTTTAACGATCGGCGAAAGAGACTTTTAAACACTACGATCACTTCGATAACAGTCACCGTGCGGCTCGGAGACCTGTTATTACGTAGGGAAGCCCCGCCCACTCGTTGGACCTCCCTCTACTTCCCCTCCTCCCTCCTCGTCTATCTCCCCTCCTCCCTCCTGGTCTTTATTTCTCCCTTCCACCTTCTTCTCCTCTTCTCTTCATCCTTCTCATCTACTCTCCTCCTTCCCTCCTTTCTCTCCTTCCCCTTTCCCTTCTCTCTCTCTTTCCTCCTTCCCTCCCTACTCTCCCCGTCTCCCCTCCCTCCCTCTCTACTCTCTTCCCTCCTTTCACTCTTTTGTCCTCGTATCTCCTCCCTCCTTCCTTCTCTACCCTCCACTCCCTCCTCCTCCTTCCTAATCGACTCTCCCTTCCTCCACTCCCTCCTTCCCTCTCTACTGTCTTCTCTCTCCTCCCCTTCCCTCTCTGCTCTCCCCTCCTCCCCTCCCCTACCATTCGCCTCTGACCGTCAAGGGAAGGGGAGGAGAGAAGGAGAGGGGAAGGGAGAAGGAGAGGAGAAGAGGAGAGGGAGAGGGAGAAGAGAGAGGAGAGAGGTGAGAGGAGAAGAGAGAGAGAAGAGAGAGGAGAGAGAGAGAAGGGAGAGAGAGAGAGAGAGAGAGAGAGAGAGAGAGAGAGAGAGAGAGAGAGAGAGAGAGAGAGAGAGAGAGAGAGAGACGAGAGAGAGGGAGGGAGAGGGGGGAGAGGCAGAGGGGAGGGCATTGAAGGGAAAAGGGATAGGAGAACTGAACAATGAAACAAGAAGAAAACAAGAGTGGAGAGAAGAGAGAGAGAGAGAGAGAGAGAGAGAAGAGAGAGGAGAGAGAGAAGAGAGAGAGAGAGAGAGAGAGAGAGAGAGAGAGATAAGAGAGAGAGAGAGAGAGAGAGAGAATTGCTCTAATCCTTTCAGTTCTTTTGCTAATAACTAAATAATACTAGCCGAAAAAATCATAAAACTAGATACCTATGAAACCCTTAAACATGAACATTTGGTTGTAGACTATGTTCTTAATAATAATAATAATAACTATCATTATCATTACCATTACTATTATTTTTCTAGCATCATTGTCGTTATCATTGACACTACGATCATTATAATTATCATCATCATCATTACCATTATTACTATTATTATTTTTATCATCCTTACCATTATTATTATCCTTATTATCATTACCATTATCATTATTATCATTACTATTATTATTATCATCATCATCATCACCCTTATCGTTATTATAATCATTACTATTATCATTATAATCATTAATATTATTACTGGTATTAATATCATCTTCCTCATCATAACCAGTACCAAATACAACCCTCACAATAACATGATAACAACATACAACAACAATAACAAAAAAATTAGAACAACCAACGAAACAGCATCGCAAATTATCAACATCACCGAATTCCACCGACCATCTCAAAACCCAAGCCACAGACAGGGATACGGACTCAAGAAAAAAAAAAAAAAAAAAACGGAAATTCTCGCGACAGAGTGTGGGAAAATCTTCGCACGTCAAGCATGGGACAGGCTGGCGCAGAATTATTTTATCTATTTTTACTATTGGCTTCTGTCTGTCTGCATTAGTATCATTGTCGTGTATTTTTATAATCTTTGTCTACTTTTTGTCTTTTTGTAATTTTTTCGTGGGTGTTATTATCGTATTGCTTATGGGAAAAATGTGAAAGGATGAGAGAGAGAGAGAGAGAGAGAGAGAGAGAGAGAGAGAGAGAGAGAGAGAGAGAGAAGAGAGAGAGAGAGAGAGAGAGAGAGAGAGAGAGAGAGAGAGAGAGATGGAAAATGAAGAAAAAAGAAAGATAGAAAAGAAAGTAAGAAATGAAGAAAGATGGAAAAGAAAGAAAAAAACAGACATTATTACAAAAAAGGACAAACATACCAACCTATTCCAGTCCAATAAAAGCTTCCAAAACAAGACCAGGCATTCAAATCGTCCATCATAATACACCGGCAATATAATGACCAAATAGGCAATTACACAAATATAATGGATCACGGTAACAAAAGGTTCGCTCAATTCCCATACATTTCACTCGGGCCTTAAATGACAGGCTTTTGGGGGTCCAGCCTAATTTTTCGAGAAAAGGACGATAATTATCGTAATCTGACAACTGATGCTTACAACGGTCGATGTTGCCGTATTGCGGTCTGTGATTTATGAGTTCGTCTCTTACAGATGGGATTTATGGTTTTTAAATGTAGGTAAATAATAAATTTAGTTTTGTAATCTACAGTCTATATATGCCGAGACAGATTTAAATTGATGGTATCATGTATACTAATATCATAAAAAATCTAGAGTAACGGTAACATATATGCACAAAACACTAGAAATGTGATGAATTAATCAGTAATACAGAACACCTAAAGTAAAACCAACACAAACAAATAAGATAACAAAATCCCAATGAGAAGACGAAGTACCTACAATATTTCACAATCGCATTTTCAACCATTTAACCTTCACAAACTCGGTACATTCCACCTCCTCCGAGTAAAAAAAAATATTTCAAGTCAATTTACTCTCTTTGCCCCCTCCTCGATGGATATATACAGTACACACACACAAAAAAAAGGATAAATGACCTATGAATGTATCAATATTTGGGGCCAATACATTCCCTCTGTGTCCTGTTATTGGCGCTCAGCTGGAGGCCCAAAGGAAGCACAAATTGGGTCCCCGGCTTTTGAATGCTAAATGTCCCTCCTTGTGACCGTGTTCCTGTACCCATATAAAGGCTCCGCTATGTCTCTACAATGGTCTCCTGTAGGACTCCGTTGGGCGTCTCCCTTCCTCCTCCTTCCCTCTAACCCCTTCCCCCCTCCTCCCCCCCTTAGAACCCCCTTCCCCTCTCTCCCCCCATAGTTTAATTCGACATTACCCAAGGGAAGGAAACTTTTTCCCTCGGAGTAACCTCGTCTTCCACGCTTCCCTGAGAGAGAGAGTCTTGACCCGTCTTGACCTCAGCTGCGGCGATCGTGACCTCTTTTTTTCCTTTTACGACGTGTGAAGTGAAAGGCACTTGAATGATTAGTGAAAAGATGCGGTAACGGTTTCCCCCCGTGCAGGAAACACGTGTTTTCCTCCTCCGTGTCCCTCTCTCATGGAGGCAAGGGGTGATGCTACAAGAACTTTCGAGAACCAAATGGAATGAACTGAGAGTCTCTTTCTCTCTCTTTCTATCTATCTAGCTCTCTCTCTCATCTATCTAGCTCTCTCTTTTTTCTCTCTCTACTCACTCCTCTTCTCTCTCTATCTATCTATCTAGCTTCCCTCTCTTTCTACTAGCTCTATCTACTCTCTCTCTCTCTCTCTCTATCTAGCTCTCTCCTCTCTCTCTCTCTCCTCTCTCTCTCTCTCTCTCTCTCTCTCTCTCTCTCTCTCTCTCTCTCTCTCCTAAATATAACTGTCAGTGAAAGACGCGAAATAGTCACATTATCTTCCAGGAAATAGGACCTCGTGAGATATCTTTAGAATCCCAGGGATCCTATCCCTTGGCTCTCCTCTCCTTCCTCCTCTTTCTCTTTTTTTCTCTGATTCTCTCTACTGCTCCTCACTTTCTTCCTCTTTTTTTTCTCTAACTTTCCCTCTTCTTCTTCTTCCTTCCCCCTCCTTCCCTCCCTCCCTCTTCCTCTCCCTACTCTCCCCCTTATCCACCCCTCCTCCTCCTCCTCCTCGGCCACATCCCCCATCTCACCACATCCGCTGTTGGCGATGGCCTCTTTGATGGGGCTTCGCCAATCACCACCGCCATCACTGTAATGATTGTTTCTCCGTTACACACTCATCTCGTGGGTGTCATTTCGAAGTCGTGGATGTCCTGTTTCCCTCGCTGGCAGAAACCCTCTTGCCTAGGCCTAAACTGGCATGTATATACTGCGTGTGTGTGTGTGTGAGTTGGGGAAAGGAGGGAGGAGTGTGTGTGTGTGTGTGTGTGTGTGTGTGTGTGTGTGTGTGTGTGTGTGTGTGTGTGTGTGTGTGTGTGTGTGTGTGTGTGTGTGTGGTGTGTGTGTGTGTGTGTGTGTGTGTGTACGTACGTGTGCGTGTGCGTGTGTGTTGTGCGCACAAAATCCTTCAAACGTCAAAATCCAGTGACCTGACCACCATGCTTCCACAAACTTACAACATGCTAAAGTTGGCTCCAATTTGTAATATTTCTGGCACCAGTTTCCGCGGTCAGAAATAGACCTCTCGCCCCCACGTGTGTGAAGTGACCTCCTCTGACCCAGGCTTTCGTCACTCCATCACCCGGCTGACCCCAGCTGTGTGGGTGGTCAAGGGGAGGGGGAGGGGGAAGGGCAGCCATCTTAGGTCAGCAGAGACAAAAATATCATCTCTTTCATTTCTCTTTTGTCGTTTTCATTTCCTGACTAGACTTGCATTTTTACTTTCGGATTTAGTGTCAAATAAATCAAATAAGAAAAGGGTGTCTTGATTCTCAGAGTAAGGCAAGTACTGTGCAAAAACATCGCAAAATTCGCAGAGCCAAAAAAAACCTTTGGACATGTAATAGGCCAGCCAGATATTGCGAGCGTGGAATGAATATTAATCGTTTACAGGTAAGTTGAATACAAAAATTAATAGATGAACAATAGAGAGACATGAAACTAAGGAAATGGAAAATCGCTACATGTATACATACATACATATGCGCGCGTGCACGGTCCCTCCACACACACACACACACTCCTCTCTCTCTCTCTCTCTCTCTCTCTCTTCTCTCTCTCTCTCTCTCTTCTCTCTCTCTCTCTCTCTCTCTCTCTCTCTCTCTCTCTCTCTCTCTCTCTCTCTCCCACCTCCGCCACCCTCTCTCTCTCTCTCTTCCCTCCCTCTCCCCCCTTCCCTCCCCTACCTTCCCCACCCTTCCCCCCTCCTCCCTCCTCTCCCCCACTCCTCCCCCCCACCCACCTCCCCTCCCCATCCTCCTCTCCCTCATCCACAAACACAAAATTCCTTCCCCCCCCCCACTCGTCTCCCTCCTCGCCCCGCTTCCTCCCCGCTCGTTACCGCCTCCCCGACGGCCGCGGGACCACCATTAGGCAGGTAAACAGCTCGGTTCTTGGGCTCGCATTGTCCTCTGATTATCCTCATCGCTTTCTGGCCCGGAGCGAGGCGGGCACGCGGACACGCACACGCTGGGGCTAATACGCACGTATACGCAAGGAGACTAATATAGGACACACGCCACACGCAGAGACAAATATGCAACACACACAAGGAGAACATATACATACACACGCACACACATCTACAACGCTGAGACAAATACGCACACATACGCAAGGAGACTAATAGGCAACCACACGCAGAGACAAATATGCACACACATACAAGGAGACACATAACGCACCACACACACGCTGAGACAATACACGCACACGACACACAAGGAGATAAATACGCACACATACACGCAGAGACAGATACGTACACACATGCAGTGACAGATACGCACACGCACTGATACACGTATACAAACATACATACGCATATACACTCGTATACGTATAGTTGTTTGTAAATGTGTAATTTTTTTTTCTTTCTTTCTCTCTCCCTATCCTCCTCCGTTCGCATTTCCCTTTCCTGCTCTTCTTCTTCTTCTTCTCCTCATCTCTTTCATCTTCTTCTTCTTCTTTCTACTTCATCTTCTTCTCCTCTCCATCTCCTATTCATCTTCTTCCCTTCCCCTTCCCCGCCTCCTCCTTGTATTTCCTGTCCGCTCCCACACCTCGTTCTTTCCCATCACCTTTTTTTTACCCTCCCTTCTCCCATATAGATAATCCTCTTAAGATAAACGCGGACATATACTTTTTCTTGTTTTGTTTTGTTCGATATCTTTTGTTTGGCTTCACACCCATCCCCCTCCCTCCCTCCCTCCTTTCTTTCTTTCTCTCCTTCATTCCTTCCCTCTCCCTAACGGCTGGGAGGTAAGGAGGGGGTGGGGGCGAAGTCGCGGTAATAAAAGATAAATAAAAACAACTATTATTGTAGAAATAAAAGGCGTAAAAGGGAACAATAACGGACGACAACAAACATATTTTATGGTGTCGAATTTCTTTCTTTGGCATTGCTCACTCTCTCTGTCTGTCTGTTTCTGGTCTCTGTTCTGGCATGTCTCTTTCTGGCATTCTCTTTCTGTCTCTGTCTCTGTCTCTATCTCTCTCTCTCTCTCTCTCTTCTCTCTCTCTCTCTCTCTCTCTCTCTCTCTCTCTCTCTCTCTCTCTCTCTCTCTCTCTCTCTCTCTCTCTCCTCTCTCCCTCCTCCCTCCCTCCTACCCCTCTCCTCCCTCCCATCCCCCCACTTCCCTCTTTTCAATCCCTCTCCCTCCCTCCCTCCTTCACCCTCTCACCCTCCCATCCCCTTTCCTCAATCACCCACACCCCGCCCTAACGATAAGAAAACAGTTAATTTCCTTCATCTAAAAAACACGCGCCTCCCAACAACAGGTCGTATGGTAATAGGACTCAGGCAGGAGGTCCTAACACTGACAAATAGCCCTCATAAATCACAATGCACAAGTGATGTCGACTCGGAGGCCAGCCCACGCAGATGGCAATCTCTCATCACTAATTTCGAATAAAACACAAGGCGGGGGCATCAACTTGTAGTCCCGGGCAAACAGTGATTTTGTTTTTATTTTCTCTTTAAAAAAGGCATTGATTTCCCGTAAGATATGAATAATAATTACAATTAAAAAGTAAATTAACAATTAATGCTAACACTTCTAGTTTTGCAAACGCTCTTAGTACGATAAAAAGCTAAATTATTCTAAGTAGAAAAAAAAATCCATAAATCAAAATAACAGCAGCCATAAAATAACAAGAAAAAGAAAGAAAGAAAAAACGGACTACATCACGACACAAAAAAAAGAAAGCAAAAAGAAAGAAAGACTAATCACGACACCAAAAAAGAAGTAAAAAAAAAAAAGAAAAAAAGAAAGAAAAAAAAATTCGAGAACACCAAACAGGGGAGATCAAGCGGCGACGACCAAGAACCACTCCCTGCAGACGAGCGAGAGGGTCGAGTGCTTCCGTTGCGGCCGCCGGTCAGACAACGGAATGCAATTAGGAGAACGACGCCCGCGGTTTCCCCTCTGCGGGCGTGTGCGGTGTCTGAGATGCGCTCCAGCGCCGCCCATGAGAGGTGGTGGAGAAGGGAAGGGTCCTCCTCGAAGGTCGTGCTTGGGCAGGTGTTTATACGCGTTGGCGGATTCGATGATTTCATGGGTGTACGGTGGCACTCATACGGCCTTTAACCCCATTTTTCTGCCTCGCTCTTTCTCTCTCTTTTCTCTCTCTCTCTCTCTATATATATTATATGTGTGTGTGTGTGTGTGTGTGTGTGTGTGTGTGTGTGTGTGTGTGTGTGTGTGTGTGTGTGTGTGTGTGTGTGTGTGTGTGCGTGCGCGCGCGCGCGTGTACATGCGCACAAACGAGACCAGAAAAAATTAAAAAAATAAAGAAAAACAAAAAAAAATATATATAAATAAAATAAAATAAAAGAATCATGAATCCCCAGCATCCTCCCCCAGGCCCTCAAGACAAAAGCCGCCCCCAAGCGCGAGCGAGCCACAGACTCCCGCCGGAGGAGTGCCAACAACTCCATGCCACTCTCTCGCCCAGGCTGTCTCTGCCACAGGGAAAGCAGGGGTCGAGAGCCGCCCGGGTAATCTGTCGCGCCCATCTGTCGTCCCGGTTCCCAGTTCCAGCTTCCACAATGCCACCCTTTCTCGCAAGCTGTTCCGATGGCTGTCTGTCTCTCCCCACCCTACCTCCCCTCCTCCCCCACTCTCGCCCCCACCCCCTCCCCCTCCTCCACTCCTTCCCCCACCCTCCTCCTCCCTCCCACCCTCCTCCACTCCCCCTCCTCCCCCTTTTTTCCCCCGCCCCCCCTCCTCCCGCGGCCCGTGATTTATTGCAATCTGCAATTCCAAATGGCATCGTAAACATCACATTTTCACAGCGGTTCTCGGCAGGCAAGAATGATGGCCGCCCTGACTTTCACTCTCTTTTTCTAACACATGTAAAAGGACTTTCGATAACGTTTTTACACAATGGATTCATCTGGGCGGTCGACGGAATACAAGGCGGAATTAGGGTCAGCGCAAATATAAAACCATTTATAGATCTCCCGAGCGCATTTGGGATCGATGTCAAATATAGAGCTTTTATTATGGAGAGCGAAATGGCCGAGATAAAGGTAAATGTTTCTGAACAGCACAAATATACTTAAATATATATATATAGAAAAACACACATCCATGTATATGTATGAAATATATATTTATGCATATATAATAGCATATATATATATATATATATATATATATATATATATTATATATATATATATATATATATATATATTATATATATATATATATATATATATATATATATATTATATATATATATATATATTATAATATATATATATATATATATATATATATATATATATATATATATATATATATATATATATATATATACTTTATATTCAAAATCCCCCGTGCCCTCTGGTGTCCACGGGGAGCGAGCGCCCACCCCGACCCGCCCTCGCCCTCACCCACCACACTGCAGGCCGCCTCCTCCAGCCAAGGCCTCCTCCTCCTCCAGCTTCCCCGCCTTGGCCTCCGACGAGCTATAAATACCCCCTTTGACGCCGCCTTACACAGCTCGATTCCTGCGAGCGTCGCACAAATCTCGCGCAACACGGCCATAATGCGACGGCGAGGGGGCGAGCGCGCGCCGCCAGCTTGGGAGAGCGCCGAGCCGGAACCAGGCGATGCAGTTTAATTAGAGGAATGGACGACGGCCGAGAGAGGAGCAGGGGCAGGGAGGACTCAGGGAGAGAGGAAGAGAGGGTGGGGAGGTCATGGAGAGAGGAAGAGGGTGAGGGAGGCTCAGGGAGAGAGGGGGAGAGGGGGTGAGGGAGGACACAGGAGAGAAGGGGAGAGGGGAGGATACAGGAAGAGAGGGGGAGAGGGCGAGGGAGGACTCAGGGGAGTGGAAGAGAGGAAGAGGGGGGGGAGGACATAGGAAGAGAGGGCATAGGGAGAGGCGGAGACGGAGAGAGGGAGAGGGAGAGGGAGGACAACGGGAGAGAGAGGGAGAGGGGAGGGAGGACACAGGGAGAGGGAGGAGACGGTGAGAGAGGATACAGGAAGAAAGGGGGGAGAGAGCGAGGGAGGTCACAGGGAGAGAGGGAGAGGGCGAGGAGGAGTATAGGGTGAGGGGAAGCGGGTGACACTCGCAATGAGGATTCCTATTGACGGAAACGGAGACTATAATCTATGTATTCAGGATATATGTTTGTCCTTCCTGATATGTATATTTATATATTATATATATATATATATTATATAATATATATATATATATATATATATATAATGTATATACATACATATTATATACAAATTTTACACATATATTATATCCTATATCTCATGCATATATCATACATATACTAATATATTATATATATGTACACACACATATATATAATATATATTATATAATATATATATAATATATAATATTATAATAGGGAGAGAAGAGAGAGAGGAGAGGGAGGAAGAGGAGAGAGAGAGAGAGAGAGAAGAGAAGGGAAAAAGAGACAGACAGACAGACAGAGAGAAAGAAAGAGACAGACAGACAGACAAGAGAGAAAGTGAGATAGATAGACAGACAGATACAGGACAGAGACGAGAGGAGAGAGAGAGAGCGAGAGCAAGTGAGCCAGCCCCGCCCGTCCCCCCCGTGGCCCAAGGCTGCGTCCGGGTTTAGCGACACCCGTAATGGCCGGCGCTGGGAGGGCGACGCGAAGGGCCGGCCGAAAAGGACTGGTGATTCGAACGTGCAACTTTTAATACGATAATAACATCCTTCGCGCGCCTAGAGGAGCTCATTCAAGGAAAGAGAGAGAGGGAGACGAGAGAGGGAGAGAGAGAGAGGGAGAGAGAGAGGAGAGAGGAGAGAGAGAGAGAGAGAGAGAGAGAGAGAGAGCGAGAGAGAGAGACGAGAGGGTAGAGAGGAAGCGGAGAGGGAGGAAGAGGGAGAGGGAGAGGGAGAGGGAGAGGTGAGAGGGAGAAGGGAGTGGAAGAGGGGGAGGGAGGAGAGAGGAGAGAAGGAAGTGAGGGAGGAGGGGAGGGAGGGAGAGGAGGGAGAGGGAGAGAGAGAGAGAGAGGAGAGAGAGAGAGAGAGAGAGAGAGAGAGAGAGAAGGAGAGAGAGAGAGAGTGAGAGGAGAGAGAGAGGAGAAGAGAGAGAGAGAGAGAGAGAAGAGAGAGGGAGGGAGGAGGGAGGGAGGGAGAGAGGGAAGGAGAGAGAGAGAGAGGGAGAGAGAGAGGGAGAGAGAGAGGAGGAGAGAAGAGAGAGAGAGAGGGAGAGAGGGGAGAGAGGGAGAGAGAGAGAGGAGAGAGAGAGAGAGAGAAGAAGAGAGAGAGAAGAGAGAGGAGAGGAGAGAGAGAGAGAGGAGAGAGAGAAGAGAGATGAGAGAGGAATATGAGAGCGGAAAGGTAAGAGAAGATGGAGAGGGAAGAGAGGTGAGGAGGAGAGAGAGAGAGGGAAGGGAGAGATGGAGAGAGAGAGACGGAAAGGGGAGATGGAGAGAGAGAGGGAAGAGAGGGATGAGAGGAGGAGAGAGAGAGAGAGAGAGAGAGGAGAGAGAGAGAGAGAGAGAGAGAGAGAGAGAGAAGAGAGAAGAGAGAAGAGAGAGAGACGAGAGAGTTGAGAGATAGTTAGAGACGAGGAGTTAGAGAGAGAGAGAGAGAGAGAGAGGAGCAAGAAGAGGAAGAGAGAGACAGGAGGAGAGGAGAGAGAGAGGATGAGAGAGAGAGAGAGAGAGAAGAGAGAGAGAGACGAGATGAGAGAGAGAGAGTTAGAGAGAGTTACGATGAGAGAGTAGAGAGGAGAGAGAGGGAGGGATGCAGAGAGAGAGAGAGAGAGAGACGAGAGGGAGAGAGGAGAGGAGAGAAAGAAGAGATGAGAGATGAGAGAGAGAGACGAGAGAGAGAGACGAGGAGAAAAAAAGAGAGAGAGAGAGAGAAGAGAGGCCTAGAGAAGGGGTGAGAGAAGGACTGAGAGAAAGAGTTTGAGCTTCTGTAGGCAAATGCGGAAAATAATATGGATATTCAAAACAAACGGAAAAGACATACACATGTTACGCACCACAGATATATACTTGCAAACAAACATTACGCACAAAACAAACACAAAGAAAGGAGGTGAAAAACACACACACACACACACACACACACACACACACACAACACACACACACACACACACGCACACGCACGCACACACACACACACACACACACACACACACACACACACACACACACACACACACACACACACACACACACACACACACACACACACACACATCACACGCGCACGCACACACACACACACACGCACACACACACACACACACACACACACCTCTCCCACTCCCTCTGCCTCGCTCACCTCGCCGTAGGACCTGCTGTCCAAGTGTAACAAATCACCTAGGCCTATTTTTTTAGTCGGCAATTACGGGCTCGCAGGTTACGCCGCTGAGACCACCTCCTCTCCTCCTCCCTTTTCTCCTCCTCCTCCTCCTCCTCTTCCTCCCCTTCGTCTTCCTCTACTTCTTCTTCTTCTTCTTCTTCTTCTTCTTCCTTCCTCCTCCCTCCCCTTCATCATCTTCGTCCACCTCTTCCTCTTCTCCTCCTCTTCCACCTCTTCATCTACTTCCTCCTCCTCCTACCCCATCCTTCTCTCCCCCCTCCTCCTCCCTCCTTCTCTTCTTCTCCTCTCCACTCCTCCTCTTCTTCTTCTTCTTCTTCCTTCTCCTCCTCCTCTTCTTCTTCTTTTTCTTCTTCCTCCTCCTTCTCCTCCCCCACTCCCCCATCCTCCTCCTCCTCCTCCTTCCCAACACCCTAACACCTCCTATTGGTTTTTCGACTATTTCCCCCTCACGCCTCGAGGACCGCAAGGAAGCCCCCCCTTTCCTTAGGCCAAAAAGAAGGCAAAAACGGGAAAAAAATCTCCAGCGCCTCGTCGCCTGATCCTTAAGTGTGACTAATCCCCTCGAGAGACAAAGCTAAAAGGCGGAGGATTAGCGGAGAGGATTAGGGAAGAGCACACCCGTCCGGGTCTAGGCCTCCTACCCCCTCCCCCCTTCCTCTTCTTTATCCATCTCCTTCTCCTCTTCCTTCTTTCTTCCTTCCTTCTACTCTTTCTCTCCTCCTCCTCCCTTCCCCCCTATACCTCCTCCTTCTTCTTTTTCTTCTTCTTCTCTTCCCCCTCCACCTCCCCCACTCCTACCCTCCTCCTTCCCCTCTCTCCTCCTCCTCCCTCCCTTCCCTCCCCCCTACCGTCCCACACGCCAAGCCACAGGACTCGGGTGTTGAAACGTAAACCTGAGGTGTTCTCATGGTTGTAAAAAAAAGGCAAAAAACCTACATACTGTTTGAAGTGTTTAATGACGTCTTCTCTTCACTTTAAAGGTCCTAATCCCTCCTTTAGGACTCCTTGGACACCACACACTACACGCCATGCCCGTGTCCCCCCTCCACCCCCCCCCCCCGCCCCCATCACACCTTCACACTCGACACAAAATCACTCACACGCACACACCTTACTGTGGTTGACACTTGGAAACCAATATTGTAAAGTGACAATCTTACTTTGCAAACACCAACTTTATTATATAAACTATTGTCATCATTATCATTATAATTATCATGATTATCCTTCATTATTATTATCATTACTATTATCATTATCATCATCACCATTATTACCACCATAATTATCATCATAACCATTATTACTTCCATCATCATCAATATCATTCTTATGATCATTATTCCATCCTCCTTGCACTCACCCAACATACCACACCCCCCCCCCCCCCCCCAACCCACCTCCCAAACACATACCACATACCCTCATACCAAACATCCCACGCATAGAACAGCATATGTCGGTCTGCAGGTAAACAAACCAACCAATGCATTCAACATACTTCCGAGAATGGGAGGGTGGGGGATGGGGAGGGGGGTGAGGGAGGGGGTCAAGGATACTTCTTCCTACTCAGTATCTTAGGAGTTTCAAGGTAGGATGTGAGGGGGGGGGGGGGGTTAAGGGTTTCATGAGATGGATAAAGTAACACTGCTTTCCAGGAGAAATATCATTGGATGATTAAATTTGATAATCACATCTGGGTAAATGTAGAGATGAAGGGAGTAACTGTATTGATCATAGTATACAAATTGTAACGGTAATATAGAAAGTATGGTGACAAAGAATAACATGATGATGAAAATAAAACCATCTGTAACAGCAACAACAATAATAATGATGATAATAATAATCATAATAATAATAATAATAATAATAATAATAATAATAATATAATAATAAATAATAATGATAAAATAGTAAACTGACAAAAAATATATTATTACAGTAGTAACAATAATAATGATAATCATAAAATGATAATAATAACAACAAAATTAGTTCCAACAACAAAAAATAACAATGAAATAGATTTGTCACAAGTGAACAAGCATTATCTAAAATGAAACCCGTGTTCCAAATTTCTGCGTCGAACTCCAATATTAAATTTATTACAGCCTGTATTATTGGGAATCATATCAGTTTATTATAGACAATATGCAGATAGACCAACTACGGCGCGTGAAGCAGTTTTAAATGTCATGATATATATGAATAAAGTTTATCACTTTTAGATTAACAAGTACTAAAACACAGTGAATAAATGAATAGAAATTAATAAACAATTATACAATTCTACCATAACATTCAGCGCTAGCTGTGTGTTTGTATATGTGTGCATATATACATATACATATATATCTATATCTATCTATCTATCTATATCGATCTATATATATATATGTGTATATATATACATATATGTATGTATATGTACACACACACACACACATATACATTATACATATACATATATGTACATATACATATATATACATATAATTTATATTATATATATATGGATGTACCTATATATATATATATTATATATATATATATATATATATATATATATATATATTATATATATATATATATATATATATATATATATATATATATATAATATATATACCCACACGAACACACACATACACATATATTACGTTACGGAGAACCACATTCCTCGCAGCTCCTCCCACGCCCGACCCACGTCTCTTTTCGGGGCCTCCGCCAAGGTACCCTCCAGGACGCCCTCGACCCTCGCCGCGCCCTTCCATCCCCGCCTCCCTCAGAAGCTCGCAAGGTCTCGGGATTCGCGAGAGATCGAGCGGCGTGGAATAA